ATGACTAGGCGTTTATATATAAGACTAGGCGCTTATATATAAGACTAGGCGTTTATATATAAGACTAGACGTTTATATATAAGACTAGGCTGTTTATATATAAGACTAGGCGTTTATATATAAGACTAGGCGTTTATATATAAGACTAGGCGTTTATATATAAGACTAGGCGTTTATATATAAGACTAGGCGTTTATATATAAGACTAGGCGTTTATATATATAAGACTAGACGTTTATATATAAGACTAGGCGTTTATATATAAGACTAGGCGTTTATATATAAGACTAGGCGTTTATATATAAGACTAGGCGTTTATATAAATAAGACTAGGCGTTTATATATGACTGGCGTTTATATATAAGACTAGGCGTTTATATATGACTGGCGTTTATATATAAGACTAGGCGTTTATATATATATAAGACTAGGCGTTTATATATAAGACTAGGCGTTTATATATGACTAGGCGTTAGTATATATATAAAAAAGACTAGGCGTTTATATATAAGACTAGGAGTTTATATATATAACTAGGCGTTTATAAATAAAACTAGGCATTAGTATATATAAGACTAGGCGTTTATATAAATAAGACTAGGCGTTTATATATAAGATAGTTTTGACAATGGCGATGCACAGCGATTTGTAGTGATTAACACGGAGAGGCTTTCACCGACCAGTGTGAAGAACGGCGGAACACTCCTCCCCATGACCAGCACGGTGCAGGGATGGAAGTTATTTGTCAATGGGTGGGCAGGTAACTGAACACAACTGCCTAAAAGTGTGATACATTTTTACCCTGTGGGGAAAAAGCATCACTTGACATATTTATCAGGGGTTTGAGTTTATTATATTTGACCCCGTTTAGCGAGTTTCACAACTATTTTACAAAGGGAGATCCGTGGTGCCCTACCACAGCAAGAGCAAAAACACAAAAAAACGTTAATATATCACAGAACAAGTACAGGTTCCTGAGGGAATATTGCACAACTACCAAAGCAGGCATTTAATGATCGCAAACAAAACACATGCGAATAAAAAGTGCAGATATGAGTGTAAGGGGTACCAGAAAAAGTTAGGTACATTTGAAAATAATCTCTATATTTTAGACTCTATATTTTAATCAGGACGGGGGGGTCCTCGGTATTTTTGGCCAATTCAAATACTGCAATGAGTGTTTGGTAGCTCTCTGGGCTCCGGACCCTTCCCGGCCATGTGTTCTCAAGAGGCCACGTGGCTTAACCGCTCCAGAATCTAGGAAGTGATCGAGAAAGAACATCGGCAGTGAAGGGAGAAGCGAGAGTTTCCGTCAAGGTCGAATCGTGACAGGAAAAGTCACGTTGCAGGCTTTGACGGAATTGCCGGTGCTGTTGGGTGCCCTTTCGACGTGCACTTAAAGGCGACTTGGTTGAAGTTCTACATCGGCTGTTGGAAGTTTCCTGTGTGGCCCCCGAGAGAACGAGTGCGTGTGCTGCAGGGGCGGCAAGAGACACAGGGGAGGAGTAGTAGAGAAGACGACGCAAGTTTACGACCAAAAATACATTTTATTTCAAGTTAACCACCCCTATGCGCTCGACAAAGATCACTGCCAAGAACAGATAGCCATGGTGGGGACGGGTTACAAAAGGACGCCTTAATTAACGACGGCTCGGGGGACAGCCAGTGGGGATGAAGCGTGGGATTTGGCCGAGGCCTTGGGAGATAGATTTGGTGGGAAAGAAAAACGACATTATTAGAGGTGGAGAAAGAGACCAAGGGACAAGGGTTGTTTAAAATGAGGAGAGCCTTTTAGAAGGTTCCAGAAGGGGCATAGAGGATTAATGAAGGGGGGGGGGGGGGTGTGCGACATGAGCACGCGGCTTGGCTGATGAGAGCGCTTCCTATGACTGTTGTGTTGTGTTTCTGGTGTCACGATTGACCATGGTCACGACCAGGGGACACGACCAGGGGTCGGCAACCTGCGGCTCTTTTAAGTGACCGCTTCGTGACCGTTATTTATGAAGGACCGCCGTCTCGTATTCACCACCACAGTGCATTGCGGCTCTTTGATAAATATTAAGGTTTTTTTACCCAATTCGTAAAAAAATAGCTCTTCTTGTTTAGTTGGTGACTGATCCCTGGTCTTGACCATAGAATATACATTTTGACTTTGTATAACGATTAAACTGGAAGTTGTGTAAACAAGAAATTGCAGGGCTCTGCCTTTACCTTTGAACGATTTGTATCAAAACTCCAGGATAATAATTATACAAAGTATATTATTAAATAAATTCGATAATTTACACAAACCAATACTGCAGTGGTTTTAATGACATTAATTAATATATTATTTAACATACACTCTTAATATACTGCATACCCTTCGATTACAAATTAAAAACCTACCCGTCTTAATGTATACACTTTACAGCGCTGTAATATAAACAGTGCATTAAATTCCATAAGCAGGTATTTCACGTAAAAATATTTTTTTATGTAAATAAATAAAACACGTGAGTTGGAATGAATACATATAATCGTTGCATTAGCTCAGGTTAATTGTCAACAAAAAACATTCAGGAGAAATGCGTCGTATTCAGACATGTACACAAGATGAATGAACAGTACAAACTTAAACCCTAATTACAGTATTGTACAGCAATGAATTACACAGGTAAATAACCAGTCATTATGATAAATCGAGGTTAATCAATATTGCAATACCATACCGCATTAAAGTAAACAAAAGCAGTGCCATTGGCAATTGCTTATTTATTGTAACACTGTTACATTTTTCAGTGATAATGACATTCTGCTTTAAATACTTGAGTGTACATATACAGTATAAAATCATACCAGAATGAGTTCACACTACTGTCAATATACTGCATACACTATATCTGAATGCACATTGCATATAAATACACATATTTACACAATCTACATGAAGAGTAAGAATACATATGCAGCATATGAATTACAATTACAAAGCTTAAGAATTGATATTGTATTGAAGTGATATTTTGCTCATTCATTATTTCGTTGTTTGCAATATATTGTTTTTACATTTGTTGGTAAATGTATATTTTAAATACAAATGACATTTTATTCAAAGTTGAAATGTTTTTTTTTCCAATATACGATGCTGAGCCATGACTATGATGGTTGCGTATTGTTGTACAATTTTGCTGGACGGAAATGTGCTAAACGGGCCCAAAGGTGTTCGTGGAATGCTTACTGCCTATAACGTCAGGCAACCCAGCAGCATTGAACAGGGCACTCCGCTTAATCGACTCACGAGGTTCACACCATTTCAGTTTCAACTGGTTTTGCTTTTTAAACAAATTCTGCTGGACATTGGTCATTGGATAGAGTAAAATATGTATTTTTTTACGTGCCGAGACAAACGCTTGTCTCTTTAGACAGCCAAGTTTTCGTGACTGCAGGGTTCTTTCAGTAAATTCACGTAGGTATAAAAGCTTTGATCTGGTTTCTCTGTTCACCAAAGTTCCTGTGCCTGACACCTTAGCAATAATTGAAGATTTAGTCCAACATGGATTGAACCCTGATGTTCCTACGCTGGTTAGGCACTGCTTTATAAGCACTTACTTCACCTGGAATGGTACTTTCTACAAAGAAAATGAAGTTACCCCCATGGGTTCCACCTTATCACCAGTGATAGCGAATGTTTTCATGGAGAAATTTGAAACAGATGCCATTCAGACATCCACCCTATGTCCTTCCTTGTGGAAGAGATATGTGGATGACACTTTCGTTATTTGGCCACATGGCCTGCCAGCATTGAACCAAATTCTCAACCACATTAATTCCATACACCCATCCATCAAATTCACCATGGAAGTGGAGAAGGATGGAAAGCTACCATTCCTGGATGTTTTGTTTGAGAAGAGACCTGATGGCTCCTTGGGACACTGTCTACAGGAAAGCCACCCACACAGATTCCTATCTGAAACCTGATTCCTACCACCATCCATCACAGAAGAATTCCCTCATCAAAACACTACACCATAGGACCCACTGCATTTCTGACCAACACCACCTAGCCAGTGAACTGGCACACGTACACCAGGCCCTTAAGATGAATGGATATTCGGACCGCATTATCCGCAAAGCTGATTCTTCAACCATGGAGAAACAACCCCAAGACGCCGATCAAAACCATCACGTTGCCATACATAGCAGGCGTTACCAAAAAGATTTCCAAAATCTTAAACAAACACAAGATCCAGGTGCGATTCAGTATAGTACACAAAATCCGTGATCTAACCCTATCTGTGAAGGATGTCATTCCTGACATGCAATATCCTGGAATCTACAAACTAAGTTGCACCTGTGGTGATTGTTACATTGGGGAAACGAAACGTCATGTCTCGGACCGTGTTCGCGAGCACAAGGCAGATCTGAAACACGGCAGAACTAATACCTCCGCCGTGGCTGACCATTGCTATAACGCTGTGGGCTCTAATGATATTGTTTTTTTCCGAGACCAAGGTGCTCTGCAAACCTTCGGGCTACTATCAAAGGTTTGTTCATGAAGCCATCCATTCAACCGGGAAGATGGATACAGATTGAGCAATCATTGGAAGGATGTTATTAACCAGGTAAAACCATAACGGCTTTTGGCCTGCCTTCATATCCGCATCTCCAGTTTCCTAACCCTCCCCACTCCCAGCCCCGTCCACTTCCCCTCCCCGGCCTTTTTTGCCGTGCTTGTTGCTTACTTGTAGCCTCCACTCCCCCTACCCCACACCCCCACCCTCGCTGTCTCTCCTCCCTGGCTCCTCCCCCCCTTCTCTTGCCTATATGGCCTCTAGTTGCAGCAGCCCCTTTTTCCCACTTCAGAAATTGTTTCTTGCTGTGGTTGTCCCACCTGATGACGGACGCTTGTGTTGCGCCCGAAACGTCGTGATTTAATTTATTTTATTTTATACCTACCATGTGACTTTACCGAAAGAACCAAAGAGTATGCTTGTTTCTTTATTACTTTTTAATTTCTATTTCTTATATTGCTAAACCTTTCTGCTCACACTATGTTTTTCAACAGTGTTCATTTCAGAAAGTGTGCCATATTAGTTTGCCCATCATTGGTAATCCTGGTTTTAAACATGTAAACTAGATACAGGAAAAATGTAGTGCGCAATTACAGAATTAAATGCAGTTTGTATGTGTATGCACTACATGCAGGAATGTATCCAGATACACGTAACTCCACTCATGGGTTTGTGGTGTTCCAAGTGTCACCTTCAAATAACTGAAGCCCAGCGTTTGTGGTCACATAAGTTGTGTACTTGATTTTGAAACTTAAAAAAAAACCCATAGCAAAATCAGATTAATCTGGAGGTTATTTCAAACTCTGCTTTGTTGACATTGTAAATGTAACCTTTAGCATATTTCTATAAATTATTCATGGGGCTTCACAAAGGCAGACTGATAGTTTTATGGCCTTTTAAAATGTGCACGGCGTCATGCATCACAATTACATGGATGCAGAGGTAGGCATCCTTCAATAAACATCTGATTACTTTAATACATCAGTTTATGTATATTAATAAAGTATCGTGTATCCAGTGTATTAATACAATGTCGTTTGGAAATGATCCTACACAATTGTATCCCAATCACACAAGTGTGGCATTCTGTACATTTTAAGCACATGTTGTGATTTCCACCTCGTACGATTACAAAATATATGAAAAGCAGTAAAACTGTTTTGCTAATTCTATTTACACATGCATTTGATATGCTGCTCAAAAGACCAATATATGAGGTGCTGTCTATTCTGACAGCACACAGTAATTAATAAAATACTGCCAGGGTTGGAAAGTGCTTAATGAACGTATACAGAAGAATAAAGCAGGATGGTTTTCTGTTCTCTTTCTGCGAAAGAACACCGTTGGTTTTCGACAAACTCTATTTGAAATATTAACATCCAGCAGGCCCTCAGTTCCACTCCTCTGCAGCCAGAACCTCTGCCTGCCTGTGCACTAGCCAAACGGACGTCAACACCAAGTGTCCGGCCTAGCAAGCGCTATGTTCTATTGCTGCCACCACTGCCGTCTCGCTTTTGGCAGAAAGTGCACTGCACGCCACCCGTCAGGTCGCTGATGACACCGGCGTTTATAAGCCCGGCTAGGAAGAGCTTCTCTCCGTCCACGTTATGCATGGGCTGTGCTTTCATGGCATCCATGCGCACGTTCTCGTAGTAATGCAGCGGCGCATCCGGCCGGCTGAGGTCATAGCCGAAGCCAGCCAGGCTCACCTCGTCGCATAAGTGCGTGGCGAAAACCACGGCTGACACGCCGAGCGTTGGGATGTTCTGCCACCAAAAGAATACAATCAAGAGCAAGTACAATTGGGTTAATTTAAAACATTCTTTTTTTATTCCGTAAAGTAAATTGTAACGTTAAAATGTCCCTCACAGTATTTAACATTTAAGAGCCAACTTTTATGTCACTTTCGTATATTGGATAGGCATAGTTATGCAAAGGGTGCAGCCCTTCAAATGCTTGCTCGTGCCACTGTTGGCAGAAGTCCATCCATTAGAGGGAGCTCAAGAGAGCCACTCTATTGGGAATTTCGGCCTACTCTTAAACACTGGCCAGACATCTTAGAAGAGGGAGTACTGACACTTATCTCACCACACGCGATTGGACGATCTATTGTGGTGCGTCCATTAATGCTGCTGGGTGGACAAGAGCACGTGCATTTCTGCAGCTCGCCCATTCTTTTAAATGTACGCACAGTGACATATTTTACACACTTTAATTGAATATTATTTAAGCTTTTATTTTTTTTTCTTCCATATGCATATGATCATTGTCAGAGAATGTAAAAAAAAATAAGTTGACTGATCTGGATCACAAGAGGTAATTTTACCTTGTCCCAACCCCAGATCCTCTTTCTGGGTTTTGGATATCCCAGTAGATCCATGGAGGTCTCACCAATAATCTCGAGGTTTAGGATGCGGAACTGCGATGGTCCCAAGGGAACTCCGTCCGCCACCGACTGCCAGAACCAAAGTTTGGTCCATAGGCTCTGCGCACAAACAGCAAGCTTCGAATAAATGCGGATATGAGTATATAACATTTGTGGTTAGCGTCCACTTGTTCAAGCACGGCCAGGGAAAAGGGATTTGTTGTGGCCTGTAATATGTTGCTCAATTAATTTGTGTAACTTGCTCGTAAAGTGCACTTCATAACAGAAGCCAACCACTTTATTTATTATGGCATAAACAGCAATATACCAGAGTCTGTAAATATGCTATCCACACCTTATGAATATAGAATCCCTAGAGGGTTGCCAAGTAGTGCCTTTTGACATGTACTATTAGCTGACAAGTAAATCCAGTAAAGGCAACTCAAGGGCTCACCAATAATTTAACGGAAAAATTGGTATCTTTATCAATACAATTCATAAGTGTCTGTCCATCTGTCCGCTCTATATTTTCCAAACGATACATGGGAGGAAAACATACAGACAACTGTTTTAAACGTTGTGCAAAAAATACCTAACATATCTAACATTCCCTTATAATTGTGTATTGCTGCTTAAACATGCAAAAAGAATTAGATCTGTCTGGCAAGCAGCTTGCATCTGCTGCCCTTCTTCTACTTAGGTGGTCCAGATTAAGTGGGGGCAGCCGGGTGGGGGAGATGTGTCATCGCACAGGTTTCTGTTGTACAACAACAACAACAACCGCCATTCGCCACTAAGTGGCGGTGACGTCACCACGACGCTTGTGCCAGGCTATGTGCACCCTGAGGCCACGTGAAGTGTCCGGCAAAACAACCCCCTACCTCCTCGCGGTGCCGGACGGGGGCAACTCTGTCGTGGACAGCGCTGTGGGGGGAGATCCAATTTTGATTGGCTCCTCCCCTCATGGCATATGTGTCCACCACAGGGGCTAAACGGGGGCTCTGGACGGGTGCGAGGGGCTGGTAACCCCTCCACCTTCAATTAATTACCACGAAACCACGAATTAAACTTCTGTTGTACGCACGCACACACACACACCTTGGTAGTGGTTATAAATGTGACTATAATGTGCTGATGTTTGTGGTTGGAATGCGGTTATGCGGCTGTTGTGGTGATGGTTGTGGTTAAATTGCGGCTGTTGTGGTTACATTATCCACGATAACCCACGGATGAAATTTATTTTCACGTGACTCCTCTTTATCGGCGAATACATCGCCGGTGATAGGACTTTTTCAAGCACAGCGGGCATTGTTTAAGCACCACCGTGTGTTTGCGCATGAGTACAAACATGTGGTGTTTCAATAGGGGTGCGAATAATAGTTCTGTATTCTGTATGAACGAGAAATCTGAAATCGCATAAAATTACATCTCACGTCATGTTTTTTTTTTTTTACCAAATGACACAGAACCTACCACGTGCTCTTTCTTGATAATGGACTCAAGCCACTGGAAGTCCACTCCTTTGTACATCACAGCAGCAAATATTGAATCTGGTTTATACTCTTCCATCGACTTTGGTGCACCCTCTGGATACGTGATCCGGACAGTTGTCTTGCTTCCAACGTCATTTTCAAACTTTATTATAGGTGCATTGTTTAATCTGTAACACAAATGTAATGTTCTAGTTATTCATTCTGGTAAAACATTTATGCTATTCATTCTGGTAAGGGCAACGGCATTATTGTCCTTTCGCAAACATCAGTCTATTGCACCATGTGAGTCATAAAAAGCCCTCTATAAAAGTCAACTTTGTCGACATCCAAATGGGGCACCTCTACACACACATCACCAACAGGGACCCACCATCATACCGAATCACGACGTCAAAGTTATCGAGGAGTGGACCCAGACCCGTCCCTCGCAGATTTCCACCGCTTCCGACCACCACGCAGCGACGACACACTTTAGGGGGCACCCCCCCTTTTTCCGCCCCCACCACGGGAAGACCAGTCTCCGGCATCAGGCCCAAGATTGCCTCTAGGCTGTCTCGCTGCCCTCGAAATCCAAAGGGTGGATCGTAGCGCAGGCCTGTGGCCTCTTCACTCTGCATCTCAGAGAGGTTCTTGCTGATGAAGGGCAGCAGCTCGGGGTGGTAGCGTCCCGGGAAAAGCTGTGTCATGAGACCACGGGCAAACCCTGGCCTGCAGGGCTCATCCAGCACTTGTTTTGTGAATGAGTGCAACACCTACAAAACACATTAAGGGGATACCAGTCAATTGGATCGAATAACATGCACTTAAAATATGCATGACTTGAAGATCATGAACTGCGCCACACTTGAATGCATTTGAATATATATATTTACATGACTACGCCCAATATCTGTACATCTTCTGAATGGTAAAGTGCAACTCTTGCATGCTTATTGTAAGGTTTATCTCTTGAGACTGTGTTGTGTCACATTGGATGTTATACTTGTGTTAGTGTGTGTGAATTAACAGGGTTTGCTGTGAAGTGGCTGTGTGGCGATTAACATGCACTGCTACAATTCTAGTTGCTAAGTGAAATCTCGTCCATCAGTGTTATTTGCATACGTGACAAACATTACTAATTGCTTTGTGTCGGGTGGTGGCGCGTTTAACAACACATTTATATATTTATGCCATCTATCCCCAAACAAAACCTCCCTGTATTATGGATGATATTGGTAGCGAAAGCCTACGTGTTACACATACCTTTAACTGTCTTGTACCAATCTTGTAGTTGTCCCAGATATCTGTCTGGATGTACTTTGATTGCTGGATTAAAGTAACATAGAAAAAGCAAACGAGGCATCCAGCGGTCACCAAACCTGGGAACCTGGTAAAATAAATTATGAATGATATTAAAATCACACCAGTCATAAAAAAGGTATATATTGCGCATTAAAACCTCAAGTTCACACCACTTTATAGGTGACACAGTTTGTAGTAGTTTTACATGCTCAAACGATCACAGGTTGTTTATCCAGAAAATTATATCCGTAAAAACATTGAAAATACACTACTTTAGTTTAACACGTAGGCTTTCGCGACCAATATTATCCATAAGAGGTTTTTTGGTGAGATCACGTAAATTTAAATGCGACGTTAGACCCGCCACCACCCAACACAGCCGATTAGTAAGGTTTATTACGTCAACAAAACATGCCAATTCGTTAGTAGCTCAGCATGCCGGTGTGTCGAAGAGTAAACCAATCTTGTGGGTTTACAATTGGAAATGTTGTGGGTTTACTTTCCAACACACCGGTGTGCTGAATTAGTAAATTGGCATGTTTTGTTCACGTGACAAACCTTACTAATTGGCTATGTCGGGTGGTGGCGGGTTTAACAACACATTTATATTGACGCGATCGAACAAAAAAAACTCTATTATGGATACACAACCTTAATTACCAAATGGTGGCAGACATCATGGTATATTAAGGTAGAGAATATTTAATAATTAGAAACAACATTAACACGCTGGCTGCAATACGAGCCACCATGGGTCGTGTGGCAGCCAAGCCCTCTTGGCTTATTCCCTTATTCTCTCCCCCCTGGTAGCCAAGAGCATGTCCAGGGCAACAAGGTAACAACAACAGTCACTGGCGAGTCATGTGGCCCAATGGGGAAAGCGCCTTGTGAACCACGTTGGAATGTATGGCCGTCAATGTATGAATTACTGTGGTTAAATTGATTTTTTTTTACTTGAATTCTCACATGTTGTTTCCAAAAACAGTAAATCCCACATTGTTGAACGGTAGGACTAACTTTTTTGTTACCTTAACGGACCAATACAAATTTGCATTTTCAGTATCATGTGCAGCATAATAGCGTTCACCATGAAACTACAATCGCAGACTCTTTTAAGTTTCACACAATTTGAATAAGATTCACACATTTGTCTCATGCCCCACTCTTACGAGTCCAATCCATCACGAATGTATTAGTAAGCTCTTTAGAATAACACTGCTTTAAGTCTGTTGCAAAACTGGCTGACTCAGGATAGCAATACCCATTCAATCCGTACCATCTGATGCCCCCCCCTCTCGTCAGGTGGCCAATAGGCCGATAGTCCAAATTATACAGTAATTGAATTAACAACTTGCGAGTGATATCCAAACGGCACACAGATGCCACTATTGTACGCGCGTGCATTTGTTGCAGCAATTGATCGTGAAGGAATCTAGTTTTGATCCTGTAAAGGTGCAGCCCTACAATTCCTCGCTCACACAACTGCTGGTGGAAGGGCTTCCACGAGAGGGAGCTTCAAAGAGCCTCTCCAGAGGCCGTTTGGTCTACTCTTCCATGGCCAGACGTCTTGGAAGAGGTAGGATTACCCACACTTTTACCCCGCCATATATACGCATCCTGCCAATCAACTAACTCTTAAACGTAATTATTGTTTTATATTTTTATTATTTTATTGTTTCCCTTCTACGTGACTTTACCGAAAGAACCAAGAATATAATTACGGTACATTAACATTTAGTAATTTCTATTGAAATGTTTTAAACGCTGTAAATTGAAATACCTCAGAATGCGTTGAGTAATAAAAAACTGAAATCTAGTTTTTCTCAAGGTAATAAAATCTGGTCGATGCTTTTCCAGTAATGGTCCTCAAGACAAAGTCCACCACTGGTGACTGTGCTATTTTCATGCCAGGATTTTAAACGACCCTGTGGCCTTGACTGATGGACCGACACACGCTGAGTTACTCACCTGCGACACAGAATCGGACGGCTGAGCATTGTAACGGCAGAGTTGGGGTGTCCGGTTGTGCTTGCACAAAGGAAAATAGCGTTTTGTGAAAAGTGTGTTCACATTCCCACGGCTTCAGTGTAACCTAATTTGAGACATCTTCAGTGAAACAGGAAATAGAAAACGCACAGAGAGATCACATTAACACGCACATTTCACTGGCATATTCACATTAAATCTGCCAGGATAAAAGCACATTGTTAAAGTACACAATCGTAAAACATTACTCAGACTCTGATTGAACTACTATACTGCATATCACGGTCACAAATATCCCACCAGATGAGCCCTCAAGCGTCTCTTAAAATTATGCTGCATAAGTGTAGCGGGTTACAATTACAAATTATTTAAGCAGCCATGGAAAAACGGCACTCTGCCAGGACAGTCTTAGTTTGGAGGACAGGCAGCAAGTTGAGGAACGAGGTCCTTTATGTCTGGGGATTGACTGAAACCCGTTTTTTTGGAGAATGGCCAGATAATGTGGAAGGCCATGGATTACAGCGTTATGACAAAAGACAGCAATCTTGAACTCAATCACTCGACTCATTGGGAGCCACAGTCTAAGTATCTGAACTTGTAAGATGGTTTTGTGTGACCTTGGCAGATACCTAGGAATGGCTCATGACAGGTCATTTTGTAGTCTCTGAGGTTTAAGTATCTGGCTAACGCCCTCACAAGAGAGGTGTTACAGCAGTCAAGATGAGAGCTGGCAATACCGTAAGCTACGATGGTAGTTGCGACGGTGGGAATCAGGAATGGAGGGAAGTGCTTTGTCCTAAGATGGCTGTTACACGGCTTAATTATAATTGTCCATTCAGAAATTGGGATTGACGGTGAGACGTCCCGACAGGGATGAGAGAATCTGAAATGAGCAGACTCGGATGGTCTGGGGCCCAGAAATAGGGCATCCGACTTGGATGCATTTAGGTCATAAGACTAAAACCAGCATTGTAAATCTGTTGTGCAGTTGCGCAGAATTGAAGAACCATGAGCCAGAACTAAATCTGTGTAGAACATCACGGCTTAATTATAATTGTCCATTCAGAAAGTGGGATTGACGGTGAGACGTCCCGACAGGGATGAGAGAATCTGAAATGAGCAGACTCGGATGGTTTGGGGCCCAGAAATAGGGCATCCGACTTGGATGCATTTAGGTCATAAGACTAAAACCAGCATTGTAAATCTGTTGTGCAGTTGCGCAGAATTGAAGAACCATGAGCCAGAACTAAATCTGTGTAGAACATCGTCAGCACACGTGATATTTGATGCCATAACTGTCAATGAGGCAGTCAATGAGGTGAGATGTAAGTAGAAAAAAGCAAAGGCCTGAGTACAGATCCGCTATGCGACCCCATCAGTGGTTGTGAAGACTGTTGATACACTGTTTGCCACATTTTAATGCAGGTGCATCCAAATAAGCGCAATGCCATTGATGGAGAAGTCAGTCTCCAGGCATATTTAAGGGTTTAGTACTTGTTGATGGTGTCAAAAAGCAGTGGAGATGTCGAGCCCAGTCAATGTGATGATGGAGCTGGAACCATGGGCAAATATGTCTTGGCTAAAACAGTCTCCATGGAGGGACCTGAATGGTAAGCCAAATGGAAAAAAGGCAAAAATTTGGGTCGAGGACAAGGCTGTAGACAAATTTGTGATGGGGCAGTAACTAGCGGGATCATTTGAATTTGAACCTGTCTTAAAGGGGGCACCTGATCAAGCTTCAGAGGAGGAAAAGGACTCGACTTGAAAGAGGTGTTTGCGATATGAGTAACCATGACTGAATTAATGTGCGCACTGCTAAATGAAGGTAGCAAGTAATATGTAAAGAGGTGGCGTTCTATTTGGGGACTCCAGTATGAGTGCCAGAACCTCCTGGGGTGTGAGAAGTGAAAGAGAGGACAGTGAAGAAGGCGGTGAGAAAGTTGGAATAGTCGTTGGTTGATCTTCACAGGCAGAGATGGATGTCCTAATGGTGGTTGTAATGCTGGTAATTTTGTTCCAAATAGATAGAGATTTGTGGTTAGGGAATAATTAGTGTGGTGGTCACGCAGGGAAATCTATGAACCAGGATGGTGAAGGGCTTTGTGTATGGACCAAAGCTGGTGAGGATTGATCAGTGGCAGAGATCTCAGCCACTTATATTGTAAAAAGGTAGACTCCTACAGTGAGGGAAAAAGTATTTAATCCCCTGCTGATTTTGTACGTTTACCCACTGACAAATAAATGATCAGTCTATAATTTTAATGGTAGGTTTATTTTAACAGTGAGAGACAAAATAACAACAAAAAAATCCAGAAAAACGCATGTCAAAAATGTTATAAATTGATTTGCATTTTAATGAGGGAAATAAGTATTTGACCCCTCTGTAAAACATGACTTAGTACTTGGTGGCAAAACCCTTGTTGGCAATCACAGAGGTCAGACGTTTCTTGTAGTTGGTCACCAGGTTTGCACACATCTCAGGAAGGATTTTGTCCCACTCCTCTTTGCAGATCTTCTCCAAGTCATTAAGGTTTCGAGGCTGACGTTTGGCAACTCGAACCTTCAGCTCCCTCCACAGATTTTCTATGGGATTAAGGTCTGGAGTCTGGCTAGGCCACTCCAGGACCTTAATGTGCTTCTTCTTGAGCCACTCTTTTGTTGCCTTGGCTGTGTGTTTTGGGTCATTGTCATGCTGGAATACCCATCCACGACCCATTTTCAATGCCCTGGCTGAGGGGCGGAGGTTCTCACCCAAGATTTGACGGTACATGGCCCCTTCCATCGTCCCTTTGATGCGGTGAAGTTGTCCTGTCCCCTTAGCAGAAAAACACTCCAAAAGCATAATGTTTCCACCTCCATGTTTGACGGTGGGGATGGTGTTCTTGGGGTCATAGGTAGCATTCCTCCTCCTCCAAACACGGCGAGTTGAGTTGATGCCAAAGAGCTCCATTTTGGTCTGATCTGACCACAACACTTTCACCCAGTTGTCCTCTGAATCATTCAGATGTTCATTGGCAAACTTCAGACGGGCATGTATATGTGCTTTCTTGAGCAGGGGGACCTTGCGGGCGCTGCAGCAATTCAGTCCTTCACGGCGTAGTGTGTTACCAATTGTTTTATTGGTGACTATGGTCCCAGCTGCCTTGAGATCATTGACAGGATCCTCCCGTGTAGTTCTGGGCTGATTCCTCACCGTTCTCATGATCATTGCAACTCCACGAGGTGAGATCTTGCATGGAGCGCCAGGCCGAGGGAGATTTACAGTTCTTTTGTGTTTCTTCCATTTGCGAATAATCGCACCAACTGTTGTCACCTTCTCACCAAGCTGCTTGGCAATGTTCTTGTAGCCCATTCCAGCCTTGTGTAGGTCTACAATCTTGTCCCTGACATCCTTGGAGAGCTCTTTGGTCTTGGCCATGGTGGAGAGTTTGGAATCTGATTGATTGCTTCTGTGGACAGGTGTATTTTATACAGGTAACAAGCTGAGATTAGGAGCACCCCCTTTAAGAGTGTGCTTCTAATCTCAGCTCGTTACCTGTATAAAAGACACCTGGGAGCCAGAAATCTTTCTGATTGAGAGGGGGTCAAATACTTATTTCCCTCATTAAAATGCAAATCAATTTATAACATTTTTGACATGCGTTTTTCTGGATTTTGTTGTTATTCTCTCTCACTGTTCAAATAAACCTACCATTAAAATTATAGACTGATCATTTCTTTGTCAGTGAGCAAACGTACAAAATCAGCAGGGGATCAAATACTTTTTTCCCTCACTGTATATCTATCCTTTACACACATTCTGTAGTTCAAACTGGTAGTATGTACAGTTGTTAGTAACAACTGTACTGTATTGAATCCATACCTTCTAAAATTAACTTCAATTGTATATACCACTACAAGGCTAACATTGGTTTTACCATACGTGTGACAAGTATGTTATCTCAAAGCGATATTTGCTAAATCATTTTCCGAGGCTTGATGTTGATTTGCTGTAATGTTAGCGCAATTTTCAATGTCATAAACTAATTTAAGATGACTGCAATTAGCGCGAAACAGAGTTGGCAAAATCCCTACGGGTAAGGGGCACATAAAAATATGGAATGGAGTGTGAGGAGGTGATATGCTTATTCATCCAGATACTGTATGACCACTATTTTAAAATAAGTCTAAAATTCAGTACTGTAGTGTATTGTCCGACCTGACTGTGGGGGAAAGGTCAACTCCTATTTGGGGCACCATGATGGTGAGATGTTAACTACCTCATCTGATATGCAGAAAAGGTCGGGGGTTCGATCCCTACCCTGACGCCTGTAGATTTGGAGTTTATATGTTTCTCTCCCTGTATTCGTGTGGATTTTTCTCCGGTTTTTCTCCGGGTCCGCTGTTTTTTTTCCCCTCCACTTTAAGAAACATGTGTTTAAGAGTATTTGCCTGTTATAAATGTGACCATGTCGCTTCTAAAAAAAGGGCTATATAGCTCAGTGGGCCTTCCTGGAAAATTTAAAGTTTAGTTAGTATTTACAAACCTGAGCCAGTGGTGAAATTATGCATTTCTAGAGCAAGAATGAGCATAGCACCCCTGCCATAGGATTGTTCAACTTATCACAGTAGAAAGATGGTCCTCTTAGACGAGTCTAGACCTGCTCAGCTGTGCAGGTGAAAGGTAGACACATTTGAACAACCCCAGAGGAAAGAAATGTGACATTTAACAGGAATTTAAATTTACAACATTCCACTTGCAAGTTGCAGACTAACCAATATGCTACCCAGTCAGATGTGTAACGCAGCTACTTTAAAACTGACTGCTCATAACACGTGAAGCGCAAAAATGTATGCGTACAGGTACATACAAACTGCGCTGATAGCCCCAGTATCTACTGTGAGAGTGATAAGGTGTAACAGGCACCCATTGTCAACTACTGTACCATAAATCTAAGGCCACAGAAGATGTTTTTACATGTTCATAACATGAATTAATGTTATGTAATAGAATAACGAGAAATAATAATGCACGCATTGGAATGAGAACAACTCACAATGACATATTTAGAATATAAAAATATGAAAGCCACGTGTGGCTAAACACGTGCGAAAAGGAGTTTCCATATAGCGTATACAGT